AAGTATGTCGTGTTTGGTCTTATTTTAATGAGAAAAATGTTACGAATATGATGGAAAAAATTTAAACAAAAAAAAATCAAAAATAAAAAAGTTTTATTCTTGCATTAGAAGTGTCTTTCTAGTAGGTCACTGTTTGTTTACGTTCGGTCTCCTTCGCTCGAAATGTAGCACCTCTACGATATACGCAAACGGTGATCGTGATATTTTTCTCTTCTGTCCTTTTCTACGTTCGGCAAGACATCAATCAATGTAAGATATACGCAAAACCTCACTCCCGAAAGATTTGCTTATATAGAATATCCACTGTACTTGAAATCTCAGAGCATGTGCCACGTGCCACATGCCATGTGCACCATACACGTGTACATTTCTTAGAAAATTAATTATTTATCGTTTTCGAGTGCCACCGATCCCGCAGGCAACCAGCCGGAACGCCCCCGTCCGGGTTCTTATTTCTCCCGAGCGGTGTGGCACTCGGTGCTATGGTAAGCACCACCACTCCCAGGCGAATTCTATACCTCCGGTGCTACGGTGATGTTTTTCATGCCGAGACACTCATGGTGCTCGACGAATACGGTCACAGGTTTCCCCGTGCACGTAGGACCGTGAGACATGGGACTCGCCATGCCTACTGCTCTTGATCAGTCGTCCCCGAAAACCCCACTAATTTCGCCGGATCATCTGTGTACTTTTTTGACTACTGTTTCATGCTCTGATCTTCCCTTGCTCGTCTAATTCTATCCGTAACAGTCATTCCACGGTCACTTTTGGACCTTAAATTAAAAAAACAGATGGTAATATTCTTTGAAGCTTCCTCTTTAAAATGAACCGTTCAGAACAATGGGGCCTCAAAAGTTAACGTCATTACAAGCTGGAAATGGACGCGGGGTATCTCCATTTCGCGAATCGCGCGCTTAGCTATTATGATCGGTTGTATTATACCACTGGCCCCAAAGCAATACGAGAAGATTTTGTACACGACTTAATGACTCTGTTTATATCTCAAAAAATATATCGGTAACAACTCTTGGTCAATGACAGATTTTTTAATCATAACTTCATTTATGGATATTAGCTTCTATATTCATTGTTTATATTGTACAAAAAAGGCGTCATTGCTTAACGGAAACCGCAAGAAAGGGGTTTTTTCTTTTTATCGGGATTGGATAAGAAGGATTATGATTAAAAGTATGCAGAGCATCATTATGTGGTATGGACGGTGCTGCAAGTAAATTACTTTCGACGGCCAGTAGGGAAATGCGCTTTATAGTACGATATTATAAATAATACAATTTGCAGTGAACTTAAAAGAAAGCGAAATAAAATCATACATTTTGAACAAGTATATAAAAATAAGTATTTTCTACGTAAAATGTAATTTATATTATAAATGTCGAACAAATGAAAGCTAATAATAATTTTTTAATTTTCCATTCTTGTATGTAGCTGTACTTTCACGAAGCACGCATGCGTAGCAAAAAAGAGGACAACGTCACAACTAACTCTAGTACTAGTCATGCTGAACCATTGACTGAAGATATAACAAGATTAGTCAAGTCTTTGCACTTTAAGGCACATTCTGTTGGCTTTGCAGTATTGTTATACCAGGTATAAATTTTATACTGTGACAATGTATATTTTATGTCACGCAGTTGTGGTTGGAGTTTATAATATAAAAAATGCGCGGAAATAAAAGTATTGGTATAAGTGTTGGAAGAAGTATGGAATATGGAAAATATATTAGGGGTACCGAAAAGTAATCAAAATTTTGTTTGCTGGCGAAAACTATTTATTTATTAAAGAAATCTTAAATCAACAAAATAATTTCCATCACTTTCTAACGCTTTTTGTCAGCGTAAAGGCAATTCCCTTCCTAAAAAAAGTCCTTCGATTTTTCATAGAAAAACTTTGAAATCATCGAAGAAATTTTGATTACTTTTCGGTACCTTAATATAAAGAATTATCTCGACCGAATGAGTGAGCGGCAGATTGGATATTTTAATGTCTCGTGTTTGTTATAGGCTAGGCTAAGTTTTCATGTATACGCCAGTGCAGCATAGTAATATTGCTGCACCGGCTTCAGGAAAGGATGGCCATCAGGATCATAAGGCGATACTGCACCATCTCCTACGCGGCGGCGATGGCTTTGGCAGACTTGACGCCATTTGAAATGTTGTTGGTACATACGCGCGTCCGTGCTACCCGCCAGCACAATGGTGTCCCGCCGGAACCCAGAGCGATCGAAGGTTTCCAGCGCTAGGCCTGACAATTTTGTGACGGCTTTGCGTCGCTACGCCTAAAAGCCAATTGTTAGGGCTCTTCTATCACTACTGACATAGTGACGAAAGAGAGGTCATGGTAGGCTCACCTACCGTATGACGCAGGTGTTCACCGGGCATGAATGCTTCGGTGAATACCTGCGTCGAATTGGGAAAGGGCCGACGGCGGCATGCCATCACACCGTGGAAGAGGTGGACACGGCGCAGCACACTCTGCAGGAGTGTTCCACCTTTTCAGCTCTGCGTCGTGTTCTTCGCCAAGAAATCGGTCATGACCTCTCGCCACCAGTAGTATTTGAGGTAATGCTAGGAAGCGAGAGGAATTGGATTGCGGTGGCCTCCTTCTGCGAATAGGTGATACTGTAGAAAGAGGCCGCGGAGCGGACCCGCCGTATGAGAGGGGGTAGCACTAGGGTGAGAAGGTCCCGGTCGTTCACCCCCAGACGCAGATCGGCCTTAGGCCGCCGATTGTCAGGATTTCTTATCCCGACAGGGTCGCAACGGCTTCGGGAGGTCTTATGCATCCTCTTGCAGAGCCGTCGCAGGAGCCGTGGCGTCCTGGGTGGGGGCCCAGGGCGCCCTGTACGCGGCCTTAGGGGGAACGGCGTCACCTTGGTGGTCCAGGTAAAATTCGCGCTTGGAGTTTGGGAGACGTCTAATACCTTCCCCATGAAGAGGTTTTTCCAGAGCAAGGGCGCTCTAAAGGCCCTCAATTGTGTTCTCCGGGAATTCCTGCGGCTCTCCAACGTGCCAAGAAGAACCACCGTGGGGGTTTTAGTGGGTAAAAATCCCACGTAACCTGTGCCCTCCCCCAGGGGCGCGGGATATCTTTGGAATATTTCCCCCACGTAAAAGAAAAAAAAGTTTTCATGTATACGCGGGTAAAACGGGCAAGAATGTCATCCAAGTGCCCTCTTTTTATAAGAGAATCAATAAAGTAGGTAAGGTAAAGAATCTGTGATTCAAGAATGACTACGTTTCCATCGAGGGTCCAAATCGGGTCAGAGTCGGGTTAGAGTCGGGTTGGGGTCAGCGCTTGTACGATGGAAACGCCAAAGGTTTAGTTGAACTCTACCCTACAAAATTTTAGGGTAGCGTTCAGTTGAGGTTCGGTGGAAACGACAAGAGTCGAGTTCGTATTGCCAACATAACAAATCCAAATTGCATTGTGTATCACGTG